GTTTTTTGTTACCTTCTTATCAGCTAAAGCAGGCCACTTTCCTCCGAGCTCTGACATCATCAAGGCCTTTTCACTCAGCTGCTGCTCACTGGATATTTTTCTCTTTTTCACACCATTTTCTATAAAGTCTACAGATGGTTGTGTGTGGAAATCCCAGTAAATCAGTAGTTCTTAAGATACTCAGACCAGATCATTATGCACCTGCAACTAAATTGTCAACTTTTGTCCTTTCACAGCAAGAACATGCTTCAGCTTATACATTTCCAACGTTCACAGTATTTATTTTGAGTAAAGACCAGTAAACCGAATTCAGAGTCACAATCAGAAAAATACTTTTCTCTAAAGGCTTCATAAACTCCGACCACTGTGACGGGGTTTTATCCTCGGAACAAATTTATGATTGATGCAAAGAGTCGAGATCAGAGCGACAGAAGGCCACTTACAGGACTGTCATATCCATGAAAATAAGAGGCAGGGATGAAGTTATATAAGAGGATTGATCCATCTCCACCACACTGGCACTAATCACACTCTGCTACATTATTAAATTACACAGAGACATTTCAAAAAATACATTCAAAGCAGGTTTGTGGTTTTCCCCGTGTTTTATCTTGGATTGTAAAGAAAAAAGGGCAAATTTCTGTCACATCATAATCCTAATTGGAATAACAGTGTATAATAAGTGCTTTCTTTTACACTCTGGAATTTTCTGGAATTTCAGATGTAATATAATCAGACTGATTAAGAAATCAATACAGATCACACACAGGTATGATGCAAAGGGTGAAATCATTAACAAACGTCATTCAAATCCTACTGAGGTTTGTCTGACGTTGCATTGTTCATTTTGAGTGTTGTTAATGAACACACAAAAAACTAAATGTAACAATTAGTCTTGCTTTTTCTTTTACATCCTCGTGCTACCAGTCACACTGATCCTGTACAGATGCTTGAACAAGCAGTTCGCTTTTTGCAGTTAGCTTTCACATTGCTTGTCGATTCTTTTCCAGGCTCTTTTCAATGTTGTCAATAACCTCCACTGCAGCCTGTGGGATCCTGGTTCCTGGGCCAAAGATGGCGCATACGCCACTGTGGTACAAGAACTCGTAGTCCTGCATTCAAACAGAGGCGTCACACGGTTTAGATTCACGGTGTTCAGGCAATGTTGGTAAATGTTTTAATCTTTAAAAAGGCGATGCACTCTTAAAAAACGAAATAGTAATTCAACTTTTATTATCTGGAGTGGGATGGATATTGTCAATTAATTACCACAACTTCAATAATCCTTGAAAGGTAAAAGGATTTAAGTGTTCAGCAAACATTAAGCTAATAGGAAAGGGATGGAAAGAAAGACACTTGAGCATTTATAGCTTGTGTTTTTCGTCTATCTGTTTAATTTCAAACCTACAATCTTAGACTTACATTTCAGGCTCTAAAAAAAAGGCGCATTAGGAGATAAAATCCTCTGGAATGCTTTAATTATCCAAAGGAAACCATGCATGGACTGCTTACCTGGGGTGGGATGACACCTCCACAGATGACAAGTATATCTGGCCTGTTGAGTTTTTGGAGTTCCTTGATGAGCTCTGGCACCAGGGTCTTGTGTCCTGCGGCCAGCGTGCTGACCCCGACGCAGTGAACGTCTGCATCAACCGCCTGCTGGGCCACCTCCCGGGGGGTCTGTTTAGGAGAAAGAAAGAAGAGGAAAACACACAAACAACTCAGAGTGAGGTGGGCAGGATTTGAGGAAAATAAACATGAATGCAACAGTAATGCTGCTACTGTATTGTTCTCAAAAGGTCATTTTTTTATGTAGAACTGCCAAAATGCCCAAAGATCACTTAATGTGTCTTTTTGTTTTCATGTGTCACATTTTAATAACAATGAAAGGCTTTTCCCTAGAAATGTTATTTTTTAATTTGTTGACTGTGCCCACACAGTCTTTCACAGAGCCCATCATTACTTCTAAAAGACTCACACTCACATTACTAGATTTATTTTTCCATTATACATTTCTCTTAATTTTTTTCCTGACAAAACCCCAGAGAGATTTTTGTCTCCTCCCACCATCTAAGCGGGGATCTCTTGGTTGTTAGGCAACTGTGTAAAGCATTACAACGTGAAGTCACTCCCAACAGTTTTTAATGAGTGTTTTCTAAATCCTATTTCACAGTCACATCTCTTAGTTTCAATGTTTGATATCGTCTTGATTAATTTTTCCAGTTTTTTCAGAAACAGCGTAACACTTGAATATTAATACTTGAGTTCCCTCTGTCTTTTTCTAAAAATAACAGCAGTTTAACGCCACGCTTTACTTACCACCACCAGCTGAGATTAACACCAAGCCCTGTGATCAGTGGTGCGAACTCATGCCAACAAAGTGTGACATAATTAGCTGTAGGGCTCAATTCAAAATGCACACAGACCATGAGATCATCTGGCGAAGCTTAAATAAGCACCTTTAGGTTGTCTGAACTTTTGAACTGTCCAACAAAGATGCGGCGATTGCGTCTGTATGACTTCAGCGGCATGTCATTCATTTTTTAAAAGTTATGACAATCGCCAACAGCATGTCTTCAGCTTATATATGCATCTGAAATTCACTTAAAGCTAATGCGGTATGGAGTCGGGGTTCGTCGCCATTTCTTGATGTAGCTTGTCAGTACTACATATTACAGAGCATTATGTAGAGAGCAAAACCTTTCCGATTACATAGAAATCTGAGGTGTGAGCATCAGTTATTATTTTAACTACTCTTTAACACAAAAGAAGACCTTAAATGCCTCGGACACTTCAAATAACAGAAAAACCGCATGTGGCGGGGTGTGGCCTGGGCGCAGTTGCACCTCTCCTTAGACAACCTGGTGGTCTCGGGGCTCCCCACGGAGCCCCATATTGATCCCGAACTTAGTGCAGACACCCAATCGACATAGCCTGCTGCAGCTCAGAGCCCTGAGCCTACAGTTTTTGTATTGTATGTATATTAATAACACTTCTCTTCCACTCGAGTGTGACAGCTGCAGTAAGCACCGACAATAACACGGTA